AAAAAAATACCCCCCGCCCCGCGTGTAAACATCTTACTGCTGAAAGCGTCAGCGGCTACGCTTGTCTTAAAAAACGTTTGTAACATCCCCAACGTGGACCTGGGCAAGTCGCCCAGCCGGTAAGCGGCCTTGTTTTCAGAGCGGCCGGCCGTCTGCAGAGCTGCGTGGGACTGAGAATCCAGCCACCCTTCACGGGGTCTGTGTAGTCGTTTGGGCACCTGATTATACAGACCCACATTTTCAAGCTGCGCCCGCAGCACACGATTTTTCAAAGCGGCTTAAATGACTTGGGACCTCCCACCAAGCTGCAATTGGACGGGGCTGGCGTGCCTAACTCCCCTGGCCTCTGTCAAACGATCCATCCCCTGTGGTGTGCCTCCCCCACCTGTCTTGGGAACGCCCTGTTCCCATCCCTCCCCCCCTCCACCGGCCTGCTGGCTGCTCCCCTCCCCACTCTCCTGCAGCAGGAGCTGCAGCTTTGCCTCCAGCCTGCCACCGGGCGCTGCTGGGACTGGGCAGGCTTTGGCGAACGCCCCATCCGGAGGGGAGGGGGGCCAGCGGGACCCTCCCCCCACAGGACCTGGGAGCACCCAGGCCCAGGGCTCCTTCTCACAGCTAGCGAGGAGAACAGGAGCCGGCCTCCCTCTCTGGGCAGGGCTCCTCTCTCGGCTCCAGAGCGGCCGGCATGAGGCCCTCCCTTTGCTTCCAGCTTCTCAGAGTGGCCCGGCCGGGCCGCAGAACTGACCCAATGCCCCGCCAATGTTCACCCAGGGCGCGGATCAAACCTTCCACCCTCCTCCACGGCGGAGCGCCCGGGCAGCGGCTTTCAGCTCCCGAGCTACCTGGGTCCTGGCGACTCCCCCTCCTTTTCCCCAGCGGGGTCCCTCCTGGGCGTGGCCGTGGGGGAAGCGCCCCCTGCTGGGGAACAGGAGAGGACTTTGGCCAGCACCGAGTTCACTTGTTTCCAATTAACGGCCGCGTGCCATTCCCTTGGCCAACCGGTGTCTCTCAACAGACTTTTCATTTAGGACGAATAACAGAGTCATGATAGGGCAAGGAAAACATCACGGGCTGCTCCTGTGGTTTGGACTGCCCTCGTAGGAACCCAAACGGGGTTTTTTAAATAGACAAGAGTCTCACCTACAACAACATGAATTGGATGATGTGAGACACTTGTCTATTTAAAAATACAGACTTTGGATTTTATACCCCTACGTAAAGTGCCCTCTGCCTCAGCTCAGGAACTGGGTTCCTCTTACCCAGCCTTCCGCATGCTATTTTATTTTCAAGGCAACTTTGGAGGGTCTTTGCTGTGTAGGGGGAGATAATTCTACCCTGAGCTAACTCTAAAGAGGAACAGGGCAGGGATCTTTCAGTAAAAGCTTTTTCTCAGCAAAAAATGTGGATTCGGTGACACCAAAGTCTCACAAATGTGCGCTGGAGCTGCCAAATGGTTTTGGCTAAAAAAAAAAAAACCCCTAAAACTCCACCATATGGCTAAACCCAAGAGGGTTCAACATTTTCAAAACAAAACGTGGTGATTTTCCATTCAAGGTTCCGTTTCCTTTACAACAAAACCGTGCGCAAAGAGCCCGCCCCCAAAAGAAGCCAACCCTTTTGTTTGGACAACATCAACGCTTCGGCGCCGCCCCCAACGGCTTCCTGCGGGGCGCATCGGCCAGCGTTTCGAAACATTTCGTTTGCGAGTCAATTCCCAACAAGTTCTTCCCCCGGGGTTTTTGACGTGCCAGAGAACTGAAAAGCGATTAGTTGCCCAAGCCTCCTTGGAAGTCCGCAGAGATCCCTACCCTGGGTACAATTATTGCCAAGTCATTAGTGTATTCGGCAAGGGTTAGCCTTCCCGGCATGGATGCAACCCGTTGGCGTCGCTCCCTGCTTCCTGAGGGAATTGGATAAGAAGGGCTTGGCCTCAGATTCTCCCCGAGGGCAACTAAACGGCAGCTGTCGTGGGGACCACGTGGGTGGGAGGGATTGCGGCAAAGCTAAGGGACTGCAAGCTCGGAGCTCACTGACTTCCCTGGACTTTAGTGTGGGAGAAGGAAAAAAAAAAATCGATCCAGGCCAAGTTGCCACCCCTGTGGCCAGCTGCATCTTGGAAGTAGCTGCAGGAGCTGTTCCACATGCTGGGATGGATATTAGCCAATCAGAGTCGAGAGATTTGTATATTCCAAGTTTGAGAAAACATTGTATAGTGCTTATGCAAATCCGTGTGATCTGATTGGTCCATCACGACTGCCATTCATAGACTCATTAAGGCCGGAAGAGACCTCAGGAGGCATCGAGTCCAACCCCCCGCCCAAGGCAGGACCAACCCAACTCCATCACCCCAGCCAGGGCTTTGTCCAGCCAGGACTTAAACACCTCTAGGAATGGAGATTCCACCCCCTCCCTAGGGACCCAGCCCAGCGCTTCCCCACCCGCCTAGGGAAATAATGTTTCCTTATATCCAACCTAGACCTGCCCCACTGCGACTTGAGCCCGTTGCTCCTTGTTCTGCCACCTGCCCCCACTGAGAACAGCCTCTCTCCAGCCTCTTTGGAACCCCCCTTCAGGGAGTTGCAGGCTGCTCTCAAATCCCCCCTCGCTCTTCTCTTCCGCAGACTAAACAAACCCAAATCCCTCCGCCTCTCCTCATAGATCATGTGCTCCAGCCCCCTAAGCATTTCGGTTGCCGTCCGCTGGACCCTCCCCAATGCGCCCACATCCTTTCAGTAGCGGGGGGGCGGGAGGGAGGGAGTGGGAGGAAGAGGCATGTGCTCCAGCCCCCTAAGCATTTCGGTTGCCGTCCGCTGGACCCTCCCCAATGCGCCCACATCCTTTCAGTAGCGGGGGGGCGGGAGGGAGGGAGTGGGAGGAAGAGGGGAAGGGCCAGAACTGGACACAATACTCCAGATGTGGCCTCACCAGAGTGGAATAAAGGGGAATAATCACTTGTCTAAATCTGCTGGCCATGCTCCTCTTAATGCACCCTCATATGCCATTTGCCTTCTTGGCTACAAGGACATCCTGCTGACTCATACCCAGCTTCTCATCCACTGGAATCCCCGGGTGCTTTTCTGCCAAACTGCTGCTTAGCCAGTCGGTCCCCAGCCTGGAACAATACTTGGGATTCTTCCGTCCCAAGGGCAGGACTCTGCACTTGTCCTTGTTGAACCTCATCAGATTTCTTCTGGCCCAATCCTCCAATTTGTCTCGGTCACTCTGGACCCTCTCCCTGCCCTCCAATCTATCTACCTCTCCCCCTAGCTTAGTGTCATCCGCAAACTTGCTGAGGGTGCGAGCCATCCCCTCATCCAGGTCATTCATAAATCAGACTACAGCCATTCACATCATGGTTGCTGCTTGACAGCCACCCAGAGATGCTTCTGGTCCCATTGTAGCCAACGGCAAAACTCCCATGGACTTCGGCACGGTCTGGATTTCACACATCCAGTTTGGGGAATTGCGTTAGTACAATTCTGCACCCAGGACTGTGTTCTGGAGACACTCCATCTCCAGGTGATCGAAAATAACAAGTTCACTAGAGAGTCCTGGAAGGGGCCTCAAGAGGTCATCGAGTCCAGTCCCCTGCCCATGAGATGGAGCTGGACCAGCAAGAATGGGTTGATGGGTAGGGGACTGGACTGAGACTCCAAAGAGCTTGTCTCAGCCAGAATCTGGCTACGTCTATTCTGAAAAAAACATCCCCCTCCCCCACAACAGCAAGTCTCACAACCCAGATCAACCGACTCCCAATGCGGAGCGGAAAATAGCCGTGGAGACGTTCTCGCTGGGGTGCTGGGACTATGCTTATGAATATGCATAACTGGACATGCCTTATGCAGAATACTGTGTGTAAGGGATTGTGTGACAAGTTTGTGATCTACCAAATAGGATTTTCCCTCCTGTGGGCAAGGAGCATTCCTGGATCTGAAGTCAGAAATATGAAGTGTCAACCGGTTTTGCTAATGTAGACGGGCCGAGGGCCATCAAGGGCATTTCAGGAATTGATGGCTCATGGGTAAAGATAATGATCTGTAAAGAGGTTTGTTTTTCCTACAAACCAGCCAGCAGGTGCTCAGAGTCCCCACAAGGGTGTGTGTTTGGGTCACCTTTGCTGGGACCCACTACGGATGTGGCACGTTTCCACTGAAAGCGAGAAAAAGTTTAAATTGAACACAAAGGGTTCCTGCCTTTGACAAAAATCGCTATAAAAGGTGGTAAGCCAAACAACAGGGGCCCTGCCAGACGTCCCTGCCTATCACCCACGGCGGCGGCTGGGAATATCTACAACAGAACAGGGGAAAGGAAAGAAATTTCCTGGAAGTGGGGGTGAAATATTCCATGAAACCCACTTCTTACTGTATTAAGCTTTCAGGGTTTTTTTGCTTAGTAACTCAGCGTCTGCATTACGCTTCTGTGGGCTGCGACCCCCATCTCTGACCCAGGGCTGGAGGCCAGAGGGCCTAGCACAGCAGGGCAGAGGGGTGCCCAGGAGGGCCCGAAGGTTGACACAGTGGTATTTCAGCACATCAGCTGACAGTCTCAAGGGGATCTTTGTGACTGAACCCATCACAGGACCCTGTGTGTGACCTCAGGCAAATCACTTAACAAGCATACCTAGCTCGGATTTGGCACTTTTCAGCTACAAAGGAAGGTGGTCTCGTTATGCCCATTTCACAGATGGAGGAACTGAGGCAAGCCAAGATCACCCAGCAGGCCAGTGGCAGAGTTGGGAATACAACCTGGGTCTCCCAATTCCTAACTCCAGCGCTTTAGCCCTTAGGCAACACTACTGTGATTCGTCCCTGCTTTGCAACATGGGGATAATAGGGCTTCCCTACCTTGCAGGAGTTGGGAGGATAAAATCCATTCAGGATGGAGAGCTGCTGAGAGATTATGGGACCGAGGGCCATATAAATACCTAGATAGATAATTAGCAAAATATATTTTTCCCTTTCGTCCAAGATGCTTTAACATTCACTCTGGTTACATCTTCACTGCGCAGAAAATATGCTAATGAGGTCATGACGTATGCTAATGAGTCCCTGATTAGCATATTTCCTGCCGGAAGAACTCGCAGTGAAGATGTAGCCTCAGACTAACAGACACTATCCTGGCTCTTCAAAAAGCCTCCGTTCGGTTTGGTTTTAAGTAGGAACTCAGTGCTCGTCAATGGAATTCACCCTCGCCTAGAAGGCAGGTCCCAGGGTGGAGGGCTGAGCAGAACAGTTACATCAAAATCGGACAGCCTCACAGGTAGACGGGTTATAAAAACAGGACGTACACGTTTTCCCTCATGAACTTTTAGTTCAGTTTTGAGGTTCTCTCAAAAGTCGCAGTGTTGCTTCCTCCAGAATCAGTTTCTCTCGTCCAAACACGTGAAAACTTTAAAAAGGCGAAACACCTGCACTTCGAAGGGGCCGGGTGAAAGCCGATTCCAATAAAATTTGGGGACCAGCAAAATGATTTAGAAAGAGCACGCAAAGCGCTTCTTCTCAACCACCTGAAAAAACACCCCACGCTCTCGGGAGACAAGCGTGGGAAACGCCAGAGTTACCTTGGTCTTTCCCAGAGCCGCCATGAATCAGCTGCAGACCTGACTCCGAAATCCTGATTCCAAGTCCTCTTCCTACATGAGGTTCCGTCCCAGGGTCAATCACAGAACCTGCCTGTCCTAATTCGCGGGCCCTTGCTGTAACCACTAGACAGCACTCCCTGGCTGTGCAGCCGAGAGGACAGATCGCAGCTAGAGCCCAGAGGTGATGTTCTAGGCCCAGAGAAGTCAGTGGATAAACTCCCTTTGCTTCCGTGAGTTCACGCCGGGTGCAGAATCTCTGGAGATTTCACACAGAAGCCAACTGGGCCACGTGGTGATTGGGCTGCTCCAAGCCAGCATCACCAGTTAACAAAGCCCCTGGCCGGTTTGGGGGACTGGAGAGCACATTACCAGGTCACCGTTCGTCCCCTCCCCAGTGCTCAGTCCAACCACATCAGCAGCACAGTGATGCTAGAGACAGAGGCTCAGGCATTCCCATGATGGAGCAGACCAAGGCTCCATCTTCTCCTGCTTCCTCCATCAGTGGCCAGCCTGGGTTCCTTAAGAGGACAGCGAAAAAACCTCCACATGTCACAACTAGCCATGAATAATACAGAGCCATGGAGGGAGAGGGGGGCTCCCTGCCCCTCGCTGGGGCTCACGTGTGATTAGGGCCCATTGCAGCTTCTTACATCCCTGGTGACCCTTACTCGGCGTCAACCAATACACTGCAGCAGTGAGTTCCACAGATATCATGAGCCTGCCTGCAACCGTGATCAGACATTCAAAGGGCGAGAGCGTTGCATCCCAGGGACCAGCACCTGTGGCGCTGCACCGTGTGCTTGCTCTCGACAGGTTGCACCGGTAACCTCTGCTACTTACGCTTGGTGCCAACCCCCACAGGGCACCACAAAACACTGGACTCCTTGGGAGTAACACTGAGCAGACTGACCGGGATGGAAGGGGTGTACTTACGGTTGAGTCCAACATCATGGTAGGTCAGGATGGCCGGGCGGTTTCCCTTCGGGGACCCCCGAATGACCACATGCAGCAGCCCGTACGGGGTCTCAATGTCATGCTCCTGGGAGAGAGAGACGAGACAGGGTTATGTGTCGTCCCGCCTGGGGGTCACTCTGTTACTGGGAAAGAAAGGGACCAATGACAACGTTGGCCCTACATCACGCGGGGATGAACGGAACCGGTGACAGCCTCACCAGCCTGCAACAGACACACACCTGACACTGACACGCCCAGCAGTGTGTATACACACACACATGGCCTTTGCACGCACACCGCGCTGGCCCACTGCTGGTGCCCGATCCGCCAGACAGACAGAGCCTCACACGCAGATGCCCATGTACCCATGCTTGTGCTTCCACTCACAGGCCCGGCAACCCTGCTCTTCTACAGATTTTCCCCAAACCAACTCCCATGAGTGCCACAGCCATTTCCACCGCATTGGATCTGACTGACGCAGATATCCCCCATGTCCTTCCAAAGACAGAAAAGGGGCAAGGGATTTTTAACAGCTGGGCCCCAAATCTGCACCCCTATCGGCATATGGCACTCGTGCCCAAATGACCAACTGGAAACACACGTGGGCATTTACATGCACAAAATATCCAACGGGTGAAAGCAATGGGACAAAGTGGGACACCATTAGCCTGTGGAACTCACTGCCGCTGGATATCAGTGGGACCAAGAATTAAGCAAGCTTCCAGGGGACTGGACTCAAGGCCACTTCCAGTTCTAGTATTCTACGAAAGTATCCAAAACCATGCCATATAAGCTCCCTTAGCAGGGACTTGCAGGAGGCTCTGGATTAGAGCAATCCAGAATTCCTGGGGGACTCATTGCCACTGATCAGATGTCACGGAAGGCGGGAGCAAGGCCTTCGATTGCATCTGAGGCTCTCTGCACCTTGTAGCGAACAAGTCAAACCTCACAGTGACGCTTGCCCAGACTAAGCCCGGTCTGTTGTGAACGGGCATGAACCATATGGCATATTCCATACGATGGCTGCCGTGTCTTTTCCAAAGAAATCTATCTGTACCTGCTCTCCCCATTCCCATTTGCCTCTTTCTTTGTTCATTTGTTTAGCCTACTGTTCTGAGACTGTCCGTGGAGAGACCCCGATACCTCAGAGGTCAGCACACCAAGAACCTTACAGTAACGAGATGTGGGATGCTCCGCCCCCCCCCCCCCAAATGTTTATCATCATTCATTCAGTAACTTTGGAGACTGCAGTTATCCATACCTATGTCCAATATCCTTTTGGATACTTGCTTAATTCTTGGCCCCACTGATATCCAGTGGCAGTGAGTTCCACAGGCTAACGGTGTAAAGAAAGGATTTCCTTCCCTCGGATTTGAATTTGCCACCGTTAAGGACACATGCATGACAAATCGCTGTATTCCACTCCCTCTTCTATTATTTCACAATAGGAAGCAATCAGGCTGCAGGGATTGGTCATTCCCATTGATTTCAACAGCTGCAGGCTTGTAATATGTGTGAAAGAGGCTACCCCAAATAATCCTTTGCCCTTCTCGGGACTCCTCCATCCGCGGAGGTCAAAGCTCTTGAGAAATATTAGGCTGATGTTCGTCTCATGGAGAAGGCTGCCACAAAGCCACCCTTCTGAAATCCTACTCAATCCCCACTTAAAACCCCTTCTGCTCTGGATACCTCCCCCTCCCCCTTGTGAATTAACTGTTAGTGAGGCAGCTACCAGGGTCTCTTTACAGAATGGGAAACTGAGGCTCAGCAAGGGAAAGCAACTTGCCCATGGTTACACAGTGAGTCAGTGGCAGCTCCTGGCCCCTGCGAAATGCACAGCCCTTCCTTGAAATTTCAACAGCATTAGGCCCTTATTAGCATTGATGTCTTGACACTCCAGAGAATAGCGGCAGCTTCACATAATCGCCTGTCGAGGGCCACACTCTTCCAAGGTACAAAGGGGGGGAGTGCGGGGTCTGGGATAGAGGTTGGGTGCAGAAGGGAGCTTGCGGTTAGGGACTGGGGTGCAGGAGGGAGTTGGGGTGAAGGAGGCAGTTGTGACCAAGGCAGGGAACTGGGGTGCAGGGGTTTGTTCAGGATCTAGGGGATCCTGGAGTGCAGGGGTTTGGTTCGGAACCTAGGGGAGGGCCCTGGGGTGCAGGAGTTTGGGTTGTGACCTAGGGTAGGAGTGGATTGTGATCTGGGGCAAGAGACTGGGGTGCCAGATCTGGGAGGGGGTACGGGTTCAGGAGGGGGGGCAGAGGGTTGGGGGAGGAAGAGGCTGGGGTGCCAGAGGCAGGCTCTGGCCAGGAGATTTACCAGCCAGCAGCCCACTGAGCTAAATGCTTGTAGATCTTAAAAAGTTTCTGTCAGCCAGCCAGCCTGCTCCACACCTGCACAGCCATGTGCTTGTGTGAATCACTGAGCCGGAGGGGAGGGGGGGCGTGGTGCTTCATGTGCTGCCTGTTATTCAAACAGGCAGCTCCCGTCGGCCAATTTCTGGCCAGAAGCTGGCCAATGAGATTGTGCTGGGGGTGGGAGCCGTGTCTGAAGTCTTCCCCCACTTCCTTGGAGAGGTCATCGAGTCCAATCCCCTGGAAGCTTGCTTAATTCTTGGCCCCAGTGATATCCAGCGGCAGTGAGTTCCACCGGCTAACTGCGACCCACTTTGTCCCACTGCTTGCACCCGTTGGCTATTTTAACAGTTAAAGAGGAACGGCCCTGCAGACACTTTCCTGAGCTGTGTGCGGGGCAAGCGGGGGAGTCTGGCTGGATCCAGTGGCTGGCAGACCAGATCCGACCCCCGGGCCGCATTTTGCCCAGGTCTGAGCTACGCCCATTTACATCAGCTGAAAGTCCAGCAGAGAGGAGCTCCTGCGGAGAGAGGCGCCAAATTGCAGACTCAAATTTAGCTCCAATTCACTGGCTTGAGAGCACACACAAGAGACGGGGGGAGATTGCAGGGACAGAATGACAAAGGGCCTGGGACACTGGTGCAGACTATTATAGCTGACTCAGCAGCAGGATCTCCAAGTGTCTTGCCAGGTAACTCCAAAGGGTCTCATGTGTCAGTCACTGTGATCCAGGAACCGCTTCGTGCCAGTTGGCAAGCAGCACAAAAGTGGGCAGAGAGGCTGCACGGATCCCTTGGGTCAGGTGTGTACATTCTAGGTCACCAAAGACCGGCACGTAAGGTCTCAAAAGAAAGCCAAAGTCACACTGGTCACCAACTTCATCACAGAACCATGGACAGAGGCTGTGTACAGAGCTGCAGATGCATAGGGAACACTGTATTCTCAGGTTAAGTCTACACTAGCAGGTTATTTCAAAATAACATATTTCATAAGATCATCAGAATGGCCAGACTGGGTCAGACCAAAGGTCCCTCTAGCCCAATATCCTGTCTGCCGACAGTGGCCAATGCCAGATGCCCCAGAGGGAGGGAACAGAACAGGTAATCCTCACGTGAGCTCTGTCCTGACATCCAACTGCCAGACAAACCGAGGACAGGGACATCATTCCTACCTATCCTGGCTCATAGCCATTGATGGATCTAACCTCCATGAATCTATCTAGCTCTTTTTTGATCCTTGTTAAAGTTCTAGCCTTCACTACATCCTCTGGCAAGGAGTTCCAAAGGTTGACTGCGCGCCGAGTGAAGAAAAACTTCCTTTTGTTTGTTTTAAACCTGCTGCCTATTCATTTCATTGAGTGACCCCTAGTTCTCCACACCAGTCATGATTTCGAAATAACTTCCAAAAGACCTATTACAAAATAAACATATTCCTCTACCAAAGCAGGGGTTATTATTTTGAAATAACCAGCTCATTATTTCGAAATAACGGGCTAGGTCGTGTGGATGCTCGCCTTGTTATTTCGAAACAAGGGGAGTTATTTCAAAATCACTCCCCAGAATAGACATGCCCTTGGAGTTTGCAGCTCAAGACTGGCCACGTTGCTGGCTCTTGGCACAGAAAGGAAGTATTACGATTCACAGCGGGTCTCCTCTCACCTGTCAGACCCCAGCGGGAATGAAGGATTGGCCGACTTTTGAAGAGAAAAAAGTACCCACCGGAGGCGGGGTGTGTGCCTGAGAGAAGAGATCCACTCTGGCCTCCTTCACTTAGGAAGGAAAACAGGCAGCGGGTTCACTTCATGAAAGAGGAGCCCCAACCGGACACAGCTGCGGGTGAATGGGTTCTTCAAGTGTAGGCTCTACAAAGCACGTTAGGAGTGTGTTCTGTGCAGAACCACGCTGCCCACGATCTGCCTATCCCTTGCCTCGCTGTGCTCAGAGAACGTTTATTCTTGGGCTGGCTCGTGCTGCCAGCCTGAGGTGAACCGGACAAGCGGTGCTTCTTTGGGAAGCACAGGCCGGGTCGTTCTCAGCGTGCCCGGTGGACGAGGTCTGGGCTCCACAGGGAACTCGGGAGGATTCAGGGGTAGACGGTGAGGAAGGGGCCTTCCAAGCCGGGGCAACGTCGCAGTCCTTCCTTTCCTGCCCTACGGACAGGGATGGTTCTGTGGCTGAGGGAAGGCTGGCCACACAGGTGCTCTGGTTCATGGTCATGCTACTCTCCACCACGAGGGATCCCATGGGGCCGAGCCAGGACACGTTGGAGGTGGGAAGCGGGAGGCCGCGATGCAGGATTCTGAAGTCACAGCGGACACGGTGGCCTCCGAAGAGAGGAACCGACCCCAGGGATGAGCTGCTAGAGGGTTCTGCTGGGGAATCCCGGGGGAGATTAGGGGCCCGTCTCCCAGACCCCCGTGATGCCTGGCCGGCTGTCTGAGCAGGCGCTGGCGTCCGAAATGCCAGAGGGGTTGCCAGGTCTAACCGGTGGGGGCTGGCGCAGCCCCGGCCTGCGGGGCAGGGAGGGGGCCACTTGCCTTCCCTTTAGTTAGTTAAACCGATTAGCCAGTTAAACGGGAGACCTGAGGAAGGCCCAAGAGCCCCCCCAGCCGTTCCAGGCCCACCTGCTTCCCAGGCGGGCTGGCTCACGCTCCTGCCTAGTGGGTCTCGCTGGCCCAGCCCGGAGCTGGCCAGGCTCTCACATCCCTTGCCCTCCAGAACGGCTCAGCACG